ATGGCATGGCCTTGAGCAGGCCTGCCCCGGGCTCCCAAAGAGTCAGGACTCCTTAACCCTATTGTACCATGGACTACTTGTGTGGTCCAGTGAAGCCCATAGCTTCATTCTTTTGTGTGGTGTGTGTTCTCTCCTCCTATCTTTATGTGGTGTGATGGTTTGTATATACTCGGCCCAGGGAGAGGCACTATTAGAAGGTGTGACCCTGTTGAAGTAGGTGTGGTCTTGTTGGAGTAGATCTGTCACTGTGGGCATGGGCTTTAAGACCCTCATCCTAGCTGCCTGGAAGTCAGTATTCTGCTAGCAGCCTTCAGATGAAGGTGTATAACTCTGAGTTCCTCCTGCACCATGTCTGCCTGGATGCCGCCATGCTCCTGCTTTGATGATAATGGACTGAACCTCTGAACCTGTAAAACAGCTCCAATTAAATGTTGTTCTTATAAGAATTGCCTTGTCATGGTGTCTGTTCAACCCTAACTAAGACACGTGGGTTCCAGGGATGGAGCTCAAGTCAGCAGTCTTGTACAGTGCACCACCTGAGGAGACATCTTGCTGGCTCCCTGAGGACTCTTTCTCACTGAAATGATTTTAGAAACATATAGTAAAATGTACAGCCCTGGTCATCAAGCCAATTGTAATAACACATGGTTAACAAAATATTAAAGGTATGTTTGTGATAAAGTAATTTAAGTGTGTCTTTACACAGTACTTGGCTGGATCTGTGGAGGCTTCATGACTTCTATGGTTACTTTATGACTGTATGAATAATATGTCCAAATACCCACAGCAGTTGTGGGGTGAAAGGGAAGCATCAGAGGGCTGTGCTTTACAATCTCTATTCATAATGGAAAGAACTTGAAAATTTCATTTACAGGTTAGTAAGAAACAGATGCACTATCCCCTGTCCAAGGCAGTGCTAACTGATGGGCAGCTGAGTGAGTGAAATTCTATGAACGAAGAGGGGCCTCCACATCTCCAAAAGCATCCCTCTGCAGGTACCCTTAAGGGTGACCTGATCTTTTGCCTTCCCTGGAATTCCTATTGGGATAGTTCTGCTCCCTCAATGATACACACTTTCCTAGCGTTGGACAGCTCCGAGGACTCTCACTTATGGAGATTCTGCAGACTCAGTCAGTGCCTGCCTCACGTTAGAGAAAGATAAAGGGGCCACCTGGAGCTAATCACTTTATCTGTCCACTCACTCTCGGACCTTCTGCTCTCTGCCAGACCAGGCATTGTATATTCTGAAACTTAATTTTATAAAATGTGTGTACGAGCGTGTGTGTGTGTGCGCGCGCGCATGCGTATGCATGTGTGGTCTATCCTTGGAGGTGGGTGATCAGTATTAAATGTACAAACACAGAAGTCAATATGGCATGGCGATTTGTGAGAATAGGGTGTGTAGAGTAGAGAAGACTTGAGGGGAAGGTGAGGTGAAGGAGGTGAAGGGAGAAAGGGACCTTTAAAGCAAGACCGGGAAGGTCACTTTTCTAGGAGAGACTTGAAGAGCGCACCCTAGGCAGAGGGCTATAATAGAGTAGAGCTCAGGCCCCAGAATTGGGGGCCTTGGGCCAGGTGAGGCCAAAGAGGAGAGCTGATTGTTTTGCACCTCAGGTTCCTGGGGAAGGAGTTTGAACATCATTTTAAGGACCAAGAGTAGCCCAAATAAGATACTCTCGGGCTGGAGAGATGGCTCAGAGATTAAGAGCACTGACTGCTCTTCTAGAGGTCCTGAATGCGATTCCCAGAAACCACATGGTGGCTCACAACCATCTGTAATGAGATCTGACGCCCCCTTCTGGTGTGTCTGAAGATAGCTACAGTGTACTCATGTGCATTAAATAAATATTAAAAAGAAAAAAGAAAAGACACCCTCTAGGAATTTGCAGGCTTGTAACAAAGATTAACAGGGAGGATATTACTAGAATATACATGTGAAGAGGGCTTTTACTTTTGTAGTGAACATCCACCTAGAGTGCTGGGGATGTAGCTCAGTGGTAGAGTGCTTGCTTAGCATGTAATAGGCCCTATAGATTTGTGTCTTAGTACCATAGGGGAAAAACAATATCAAAAACGAAAGAAACACCCTTCTTGCATATGTTACCCAGCTTTTTCTCAGCCTGAGATCTCTGTCTACATGGCCTTCCCCATCATAACTTTCTGTGCAGTTGACAGCCTGGCTAACTTCCCCTTGGCGTTACCAGCAGGAAGCCTTCCTTAAGTGACTCAGTCATCTTCTGGGTACAACATGCGACACCATTGACTGGTTATATGTCAGTGTTTATTTTCCCTCCCAGTAACTCACCGGTGATACAGGGTAGGGGCTTGGCAGCTGGAAAGAGGGAAGCTCTTTAGTCTTCAGTTGTTCAGAATGCCCCCTGCACCTCAGTCTGGGATTGGAGCCGCACAGTGCCACCTCCTGGCAGTAGGTAGAATGGCAGGCAATATGTTGTGTGGAGAGAGGGATGGATGGACGCAGGTTGGGGCACTCTTGAGTGAGGATAAACACACCAGTTCTAGGCTGGTGGAAGGTTTGTCTAGGGAACAGATGATTACAGATGAGAGCTGGGTAAGAAACAGAGAGAAGACCGACTGTGGATAGAACAGCTGGCTGAGATGAGGACCCAGGATCCAGTCGAGGTTTGGTGTGATCCATCCAAACTTCGGAATTCAGCCAGACAACAGGGGACCCCTTTGTTTATAAGGCTAGGGAGACTAGCCTTTTCCTAAGTAAAAACTTCCAGGGATCAGGGGCCTGGTCTAAAGCCAAGTGTCCACCCATCCCTCCTCCTCCCTGCTTTCCAGAACAACTTGTTTTTGCTTTAAAACCTGGGACTTTGACCTGGGAGCTGTTTTCTCCCTTTGGTCACCTTGTGTCCTTCCTGCTCATTCTCCTCCCTTACTGTGCTCAAAGTATACTTCTGGGAGTCTCTGCTTTTCTTTGGGGTTTTAGGGAAGTTGGGGATGCTTGGGGAAAAAGACTGTGGCTCCCGAGCTGGTGGCAGAGGCAGGGCTATTTCCAGGGGGCGTGAATTAGTGAGTGTGTACCATCAGAAAAGCCTCTCTGTATATGCTGGCCTGTTTAACACACACACACAGAGAGGCGGGGGGAGAGGGAGGGAGGGAGGGAGGGAGGGAGAGAGAGAGAGAGAGAGAGAGAGAGAGAGAGAGAGAGAGAGAGAGAGAGAATCCTAAGAAAGCCATGTGTCCTCCCTTGAGCCATTGCCACCTACCCAGTTGTCTAAGTCAGAAACCTAACCTGAGAGTTTCCAAGTGGGCAGCAGCCAGTCACTTGTCCAGAAACCACGCCCTGGTTTCTCTACCTCCCAAGCGCTGAGCAAAGGCTTCTCTAATGCAGTCCAGTCAGAGGCTGCATGTCTCCCAAGACTCCCTCTCCATCTTTGATGACCTTTCATTTTCTCAAATGGAGGTCTGACCTTGGTTTCCCGTACCCCGCTTAAAGTCGACTAGAAAGGCACGGTGGATATTTGCTACTTCCACCCCATTCCTTTCATTCCAGCCAGTGGTTCCCTGGCTGTTCATTAACATCCACCAAGCCTGCGCCTCTGTGCTCCTGAAGATTCTCAGCCCATGTTGAGAACAGGTTAGCCATGTAGAGTTAGACATGAAGAGTTTCCCTGTGACCTTGGGGAATGGTCACAGGCCCACTGCACATGCATGAAAGTAGGTGTGCATACATGCTCACAGAGAAAGCAGGCTCTCACCTGTCTTATTTTTGTTTTTCCGTTGGACAGAAACTAGGACCTGCAGGCCAATATGACTTGGGACAAGCAATGCAATGAAGGCCCTCACCAGTGTTGACTCAGCACCATCCACAATTCCTTGGCTGGTGTTTAGTGTCTCAGCCACCCATTCTTAGCTTCCTTATTTCTTAAGCCTGGTCAAGTCGGGGTGATACTGGCTTCTTCGGAACATGAACTTCGTCTTGTGTTGGATCTGGATCACAGGCTCCACATTCTGTATGTAGGGACAGACAGGCATGATTACTGTGCCCTGGGGCCTTCTAAAGGCATCTGAGTACCTGCCAAGAGCCAAGACAGCATGAGATGTCTTACCTGAGTATGCACTGGAAAGGGCTGAGTGCAATGTTCTTTTAGGAATCCATGCAAGCAACAGGGACTGTTAAAAAAATCCTCTCCCATCCTTTCCTTAGGAAAGGGGTCTAGCCTGCTGTCTCATCTCAACTTCTATATTTTGGGGTTAGCTGGGCAAGGAGCCCCACCATGGCCTTAAGACTCAGACTTCAGTAGGTACTTGGGCCATTTTTAGTGTCTAGAAGGTCAGGCAGATGCTATGTGTCCTACTGGGTGGGATGTGTGTTTCTGCAGGGTCTGGCCCTGTGGTGTCAATTTCCAGGGGACAGATGAACTTCTCATGGCTACTCCTGTCTGTAGATGGGTCCCCAGCATTTGGAAGAATCAGGGAATGAGCAGAACAAAGGAAGAATGCCAAGACACATGCATGCAGTAGGCATGCACACATACACGTAGAAGAAGCAGGCTCCGGGCTCCAACCTGCTTTGGACATTCCAGGGACCCACTGGTTGGGATGAAAGGAATGGGGTGGAATTAGCAAATATCCACCATGCCCCCTCCTTATCATTTTAAGCAGGGTGCAGAGCTCCATTTGAGAAAATGAAAAGGCCAAAGGAGGTGGGAGACTTCTCCTGTGATGAAGGAAGGTGGATCTGAAAGCAGATATTGAGACTTCTGACCAAGTCAAATCTTGTCTGAGGCCTGTCAGGTTATCAGGGATTTTGGGAACCAAGGGGGAATATTGAACTGGTCTATGAGGAAGGTCCCACAGGGCTGGGGACTGTGAAGTGAGCCTGTGTCTCAGGTGGGGTGGGGTCCCAGGGTTTGGCTTGGTGGGTCAGAAACAGGGGGGAGGAGAGCAGAAGGTAGAGAAAGCCGGCAGCTGAGCCTTCCCTGAGTCTTCTGCTCGCAGGTGTTTTCCTCTGGCTCTCTGAGCCAACCATTGCTCGTCTCAAGCCTACTGTCAGTCTTCTAAGAAGCCACACCCACTAGGCCCATTCAAGGCAGGGCTGAAAATGTGTCACACCTTTCCATGGAAGCCCAGCCCCACTTCCAGGAAAGGTGAGCTCAGGAGACTTCTGACACCGAGTGAGTGTTGGAGGAGACTGGGGCTTCCCCCTCACTTCCCCAGTTCCCCGGGTCCACCTCCTTAACTGGTTTCTAAGGGGGTACCTTAAATGCCAGTTTGTTGGGCTGGGCATCAGCCAGGCCTGGCAGCTCATTTCCAGGGGAGGAAGGGCAGTTTCTCTTCACCAGTCTGCCAGTCCTTCCTCCCCGCCCTCTCTCCACTTCTGCCTTACCCAATCCTGCCTCTCCTTTAGCTAGACTGCGCTCCAGCTGATCTCACACAAACACCCCAGACCTCCAGCAGCTCCAGGAGTCAAAACACCAGCAGTGGACCAAGGCCCTACATCTGCCTGCAGCCATGTTGGCCCTCAGTCTGCTCGTGCTGGGTCTGCTCACTGAAGTGGCACCTGCCAGCTGTCAACAAGGTAGCACAGGACAGGGGTACCTGGGCTGCAGGGAGGAGAGGGCTGGCTGGAAACAGTGACCGAGGTAGGATGGGGTGGTGGCCTTCGATACCGTGTTTGTAGAGGGGGAATACGCACTGGACCACAGTCCTCTGACTTAGGTTCTGTGATTGATTTGTTTCCTTCAGTGAGGGGTGAGACAGCAGGGAACACATTGGCTCCAGGGTTTAGGGGAGGAACAGGAATTGAGATCCAAACCTCACAGCAGGAACTGTCCCAGAGACAACTGGGTCCTGGGGCTAGAAACAGGCTGGGAATGGCCCCAAATGCTTGCTCTGGATAGGAGGGTGGGTGGGTGGGTGTGTTGGTGGTGGGGGGGTGAGATTAAAGGCATAAGCCACTGAACCGGATGACCTAAGTCCTCTTTCTCCCTTTCTCCAGAGTAGTCCTACTGTGGGTGTACTCTTCACCAAGCTCTTTCTGTCTTGCTGTGTGACCATGAGGAAATTCCTGCCCCACTCTGAGTCTTAGAGTTTTTTTGTTTTTTAAATTCATTCTCAGTAAGTCAGAGCTACTGTCAGGTTGGAGGTATAAAAGGGCTTTGTACCCAGTGGTCTGGTGTCCAGAGGTGGCTGGCGAAGTTGATATATATATATCTATTTGCTTCACTTCTGAGTCCCACGTCTTGGAGGCCCACTGAGAAACTAAGTACCACACAGATTGAGTAACTTATATGGGTTCATGAAGGAACCCGTCCAGGACCATTTTTCTTCTGCCTTTGACTCTGTCCCTTGCTCTATAAGCTCTCCCCAGAGCCACAAGAGGAGGACCAGAAGACTGTGGTCCCAGGTGTCTGTGAGGAGTTAGCTGTAAGAGCCACAGAAGAAGGAAAATGGGAGGGGACCTCCCAGGGTTGTTCCCAATGCCTGAGCATCATAGTCCAGAAAAAGTAATGGCCTGAGCCCAAGTTTCTTGGACAGAGTGGGAAGGGACATATTCAAACACTGACCCTTGCAGAGCAACCATGTGCATCTTCTACTGGGGGTTGCTAACCTGGAGCTGCCATGGCTACAGCCCAGCGTTCCATTTCCCTTTCTTTCACCAACACTTGTCACACTTAGAGACAGCACTAAGGACAGTCAGGTCATTACTGCAGCAGAAAAGCATCATGCTGGACTCCAAGAAGGACTTTGGGGTGGGAATGAGGCAAACTGAGGTCTTTTGATGCACAGCCTCTCACAGCATAGGAAGGCTCTAGTCATACAGCCTTGTTTAAAGTCAGGACTTCCCCCCCACCAAAGTCTCCTGTTGTTCTCTCTTTCCTCCTGAGACTCTTAGCTGCTGGGTATCTTGCCTTCGGAGAGTGAGATCTTCAGTCTAATGGGGAAAATAGTTTTCCTTGGGGCTTCCAGGGGCCTGAGGAGAACTCCTGGGAAGTTTTAAGGGTTGGAGTTGACATCAAGGGTGAAAAAAATAGAAGGGGTACATGGCTAGACCTTAACCTGGCCGCTGACCTTTGTGCCCTGCCCACCCTGTTGGAAAGGATAAAGGGGCTCTGAGCTAAAATCCAACATCTTAACTCTCTTACCTCTCCACAGCCCAGCTGAGCAGTCAGCACTGAAGCAGCTCTGACTAGACTTCACCCCTCCTAATCCTTCCTGAGAAGCTTTGTGTTCTAGAACTGGATCTTCCAGATGCCAGCCTTGTCCTGGCAGCTCTGGGCCAGCAGGAGGGAGGAGGGGCCACTCCCAGCTGACAGGGAGGCTTAGGCCACTCCCAGCTGACTGACAGGGAGGCCTAGGCCAGCCATTGGAACTGCCCTTTGGTCTCTGTTTTCTTACACTTCCTAGGGGGGCCCTGCATGTGACTGTTGTGGGCGTGTGCAAGGAGGAGGCTCTGGGAGCCTGAACTTCAGAGAAAACTCTGAGGCATGTCCTCTTTTTGGTTGCTCAGGTTTTCTTCAAACTTCAGTAGGCTCTGAGCCCCATCCTTCCCTCATACTTAGAAGAGTGGACAGGCCTAGATCTATTCTGTCGACTCAGATGTCTCCCTGGGCCCTACAGAGTGCCCAGACTGTTCTGTGCCTGCAGCTCTTTTTCCTTTTCCAGGTCTAGGGAAGCTTCAGCCCTGGATGCAAGGCCTCATTGCTGTCGCTGTGTTCTTGGTCCTTGTTGCAATCGTCTTCGCTGTCAACCACTTCTGGTGCCAGGAGGAGCCGTACGTGCCACGTGAAGGCCCTGGGCTGGGCAGCCCCTAGTGGTCAGGGTAACCCTCAAACCTTTGCTTTTACCTTAGTAGAAGATGACCCCAGAATCTCTCACTAAAGTCTTGTCGCTGTGAGAAAGGGAAGCCAGGGCTCAAGTACCCAGGAAGAGTTGATGACAGAGTCAGCTTGGAGCCTTTCTGGTTCCCAGGCTTGAACTCTATTGGCCAGCCTCACGGTTCTCTCACCTCCTTCTGCACCCTGCCTCCAGCATGAACTTGGGAGAAAAGTCTCTCCTAGGCATCTCAATTTTTTTTTCCATTACTATCCATGGAGTTGGGATGGGAGCCTGGCCTCCCTCCCAACTGAAACAGAAGGCCCCGTCCTTTTGGAGGGTCAGCTACATATGATGCAGAGGGCTTCACAGGCACACAGACTGGATAAGCAGTTCAAGTCAAATGCAGCTGAAGGAAAGAGAGTACAGGACACTGTCTGAGGTGGTATGGGGGCTGAGAGGGGGTTAGTTAGTATGACTTTATTGACTGGACAGTCACTCCAAAACCTGACATACAAGAAGTCAGTCAGAGAATAGGGTACTGCAGGAAAATACACTTGAGTCCTAAGTTTGGGGCCTGGCACCAAGACCAGTCTCCAGGAATGAATGCATCGAGATCAAGAGCCCCACTGGGTGAAGCTACATCTGCCTTAGGGGATCTTTTCTCAGATGTCATTAAGGTAGCCTGGCATCCAGGGGTCTAGCAACCTTGCATAGCATTTGGAGTATGTACAAGAAGCTTAGGGATGGAGATGGATGGAGAGTCCCAGTGTGTGGCTGGTGAGGTCAGTAGGACCTGGGTCTGGCGATACCAATGACCTAGACTGGAGGCCTTATGTCAGTGCAGCTGAAATCAGTGGATGAGATGACGTTAACAGAGTTAAGTTCTTCTAGCTGTTCTGTGTGCATGCACGGTACGTGAAACAAGCAAGCTTAGAGCGTATGAAGCTGGACAGACTTGGACAGGACAGAGGCAGTTTGGAAAAGGGAGGGGTCTAAGAGCTGTTTGGGAGGGAGCCTGGGAGTTGATGGAGAGAGGCAGTAGGGAGCACTGAGGAAGGACAGGGTTGACTCTAGAAGACTCCCTAAGTCAGAGGACACTGAGACCAAGCTGAATTGACTTGGGTGGGACATGTCTGGTGTGACATGCCTGTGGGATGCCTGAGGACAGCTGAGTAGGTATAAGGGACCCAGAAAAAAGCTCTTTCAGGGATGGGAAGGCGGGCAAATGCACTGTTAGCTCTGTCTCTCCCTTCAGTGGCCACCAACCACGCCTAATTTGGGATGTACTCTGAGTCCTGCTGGGTCTATGATGGGGCTGAAGGGGAGTGCGTGGAGTGAGTGGAAAGAGACCTGGGACTTAGGACAACCATCTTACAAATACCTGTGTTCCCCATTTTTCTTGTGGATCAGGTTAGAGGGTTGTGAGGCCTGAGGAGGAGGCTAAAGTTGGTGTCTACAGGGCCTGGGGGGCAGAGGTGCTTTCTGAGCTGGGGTACTCTCTGCTTGCACCTTGAGAACCAGGTCCCAGAACAGAATGTTCCTGGATGGGTTGGAGTGGACACTCATTGGTGAGCCCTGCTGATAGTCTTCTTCCCCAGGGAGCCTGGGAGCACGGTGATGATCATTGGAAACAAGGCAGATGGGGTCCTGGTGGGAATGGACGGCAGATACTCCTCAATGGCATCTGGTTTTAGGTGAGGTGCTACTGGGAGAGTTAGGAAAGGCGGGGAAGCCAAGCGGATGGGCTGATGAAGAAAAGGACTAGTAAAGTGAAAAGGACTCTGTGAGGACTACAGTGCTTAACGGGAAGACAAAGAGAGAAGGCTTAGTCAGGAAAGTAGTAGGTGTCATGGGGAGAAGAGGTTCAATGCTGAAAAGGGGAGTCAGTGAATCTGTGAAAAAAGAGTTCTCTGGAGGCTCAATGAGAAATCAGGGGATTTGGGTGGGTATATTTCTAAGGAACCTCTAGTCCAGGCACACAGGTCCAGATATGTTCAGGGGAAGGCCTCTCTTCTCCCTGCCCGGCTCAGATGCTAATTCTGGATAGAAAGCTGGTGCAGGATGGTGAAGGCAGGCTGGCGGTGGTGGTGGTGGTGGTGGTGGTGGTCTTTGTGCTGCGGGAGGAGGAAATGGAAGCGGGAAGCCAATGATCCAGTAAGCCTTACGTCCATTTTCAGGTCCAGCGAGCACAAGAATGCTTTCGAGAATGTTCTGGAGGAAGAGGGCAGGGTCCGCAGCACACCCATGTGACAAGCTCCTCTATGGCCCCAGTTCCCAGGTTACAGGGGATATACAGTTGATGCCCACAGTCTCATCCAGCCACTGCTCTACAGGAATCTACTGACACAAGCTGACCCTCTCACCTCTCTTGAATCACAGCCATCTCGGGCTAGGTCTCAGACCAAGCTGAGCACAGCATGTGCTGTGGCCCTGGGGTCTCCTGGGGTCTTCTACTCATTTCTGAGGAGCCTTGTAAAGAGATGCCCGGTTCATTTCCTCCCCTCCTCGTTCCTCCTGCACCTATGGAAGTGGCTCTTATTTCTGTGAAATAAAGACTTTTTATACTTCTGGGATGGAGACTCTGACCCAGCTTCCAGCCACTAAGCGAGAGGCTTTATGGGCCCATTTCTTTTCAATTATGATAACTACCTTCTAGGATCCATTGCCATGGTGAACTCACAGATTATCCAGAAGCCATGGCCCCATAAGGGAGCTAGGGACTTAGGGACCCAGTTGGAGAGGCTGAGGCTGTGTCAAGGTAGGAATAAGAGAGAGCTTGTCTCCTCTGGTGTCTGAGTACTTATGGAGAACTCCCTATGGGTGTGGACATTCCTGGGAGAGTTGAATTTATCCCTGCCTGTTGGTGGCTCTTGTCTCTTCAAACTAAACCCTTCCTTGGCCTAAGCAGGCAAAAGATCTTCCCAGGAGAGGAAGACCCTGATGCGAGCTGGGTATCCAGACATCCCTATCCCTGGTGCATTTCAAAATATCTCCCTTGTGCAGAGGGCAGGACAAGGCCAGGAAAAGCCTAGGAGCTTTTACACTGCCCTTGTTCAAGGCTGGGCCCTTCTGCAAGAACACCCCAGCCCCCAGCTCTTCAGGGATCTTCTGGATTTCTCCTATACAACACTCCCCCCACTCTGCTCAGCTCCCTCCCCTTCCAAGGACTCCAGAGTGGTGTATTATCACATGGTGAGAAAGAAAGCTGGGGCTGAGACAGAGGAAGCCCAGATTTGTGTTCTTAGTCTCCTGTCAGCTTACTGTGTGACCCTGGGAGAGCTCCGTGATCCTGTGTGGAGGATTTGGTTAGTCTCTGGCAGAGCTAGAATAGAACCCAGTCCTCACCAGTATGACTCTCAGCCCTGGGTGAGATGGGAGTCAGGGAACATGGTCTGGCAGAAGAGAGAAGACAGACACAAGTACCTGCCTGACCCAGCTCCTCTGCTGTGTCTGGGTGTCCCACTGAGCAGCATTTGTTCTGTAGTAAAAACTCCAAACAGACTTATTTCCAGATCCAGAGGCCTGTGTGGAGAGGATGGCCAGAGCCCCCTTGTTTCCAGATGTTTTCTCTGCCACCTGTCTCACCATTTCACAGCATCCTTGCTTCAGGCTCACGGGAAATTACTTTGTGGTCTAAGGCTTGCCTGAATGTCTCAAGGAGTACCCACAAGTCATCTCCCCGGGGTTTAGGAGCTGGCCTGCAGCAGAGGTAGCGTTCTGGGCAGAAAATGACAAGTAGTGCTTCTGTTCTAGGTTTCCCTGCCTTACTGTGTGATCTTTGCAAGTCTTTCCCTCTCTGGTCTTTAGCTTTATGGACATTGATTGTTGCTCCTGTATTTTTTTTTTAAAATTTATTTTTATTTTTTATGTAACTCATGCCATCTCACCCATTTCTGCCAGTTTGAAGTGTGAGCACTATTCATTCTTTTTCCTCTTTCCTTATCCTTATGAAATCATTCCTTGATTAAAATAGAAAGCAAAGGCAGGGGCCAGCCAGCTCAGCTTTTTTCTCACTGAGGGAGAAAAAGAAGATAGTCGAGGCTAGGTCTTGGCTAAGGCGCAAATACTCCCTTTCTTTGGTCCAGTCAGACCTGTTCTCTTGCAGGTGACCACATTCCTTCCCACCTCTGCTCCCAGTTTGTTCCTGGGAAGAGCAGGTGGGTTCAAGTCAGCCTCCCTCTTACCTCCAGTTTGCCAGGGCCAGGACAGAACCACCTGTAAGGTGTTATCAGGAGAGACCTGCTTCCTCCGAAGCTAATCCGGTCATCCCAGCAACTGCAGAGATGCCCTGCCAGGCTCTTAGAGCCTTGGTGCTTGCCTCTGCAGGGGCTAGACCGATACTGACCTACAGCGCTCCTCCCCCACTCACATTCCCCTCCTGACCAGGGGCTGGGAGTAAGGAGTGCCCGCCCCAGAACCGCCAAGACCCTTATCGCCAGCTCCCACCTGCCGGACTGGTCGGATCAGGAGGACAGGAGGTTGGGCCAGGGCCAGGCCGCTGCTTAATGACCCTCGTGGGGCCTAATCTCTGACTGTCAGCCGCATGGTGGCTCGGGGTGGCTCCTGGAGAAAACTGATAACGCACCAGCTGGGCCCCCCACCATCTACTGGGCCGCATCAAGGGTCCCTAGGGGCGGCCTCTGGGGGCCTGGGGCGGGGCTGGAGGCGAGCCCCCCCACCCCCGCTGGGGAGGGGACTAGGAGCTTCTGAGTGACCAGGGGTGGGGCCGCACGGATTCACACCCCTGTTCACGCCTCATTCTTCGCTTTCAACATAAGACCTCTAGGCCTTCCAGTTTCTCTTTGTCTCTTTCTTAGCCTCTTAGGATTTGTTTTTTGTCCTCTGTATACAGCCCAGTCTCCCGCTGCTCCCTCTCCACCCAAGCTTGATTCCCGCTGCCGGCTTCCTTTCTTTTCTCTTCTGCTTCTAGCCAATTCTTCCCAGTTTTCCTTACCTCCAAGTTTCCCTAAGGTTTATACTTGGCTTGCAAGTCTTATGCACCGTCTGGAACCTTTCACTTCCTTGTGTCACCTCATCTCCGGCTGGTCCCTACCACTGGCTCCGTGCCAGTGCACACTGGTCTGTAACAAGTGAACTCTCCTGCTGTTCGGGACAGACTAGCTCATTTTCTGATTCCTGGGATAGCACCTTCTTTTTTCTATCCCACCCCAAACGTGTGGATTTCACAGGGTGACATAGGTCACACATATGTCAGGCAGGAAAGGAAACATCCACCCAGATTGACAAGGTGGAGGGAGTTTGAAGCACTTCGGACTTCAGTTAGTCTTGAAGGGGAACTTACCGACTGCAGTTGGTTTTGATAAAGGCTGTGGAGTTCTATCTACCCCGTGGTCCTGATGTGGCATGGAATGGCAGGTGAAGGAGATGAGTTTCAAGGTCACCTCCTTCATACGCAGAGTAATGCGCAAGAAATATCGTATGCTTCAAGGACTATTATATCACTTCAGGCAACTCTTAGGTAGAGCTTCCTTCCCCAGCCCAGGGAAAAGAGGCGTGTGAGGCTAAGTCACATGCTTCCTAGTCCTCCTAGACCAGCCTAAAAACAAGCACAGGGATGGAGACATCAGCACTTTCCTTGGGGCCCAGGCACTAGGCACCTGTTTCCTGGCAGGCCTGGCCATGGGTCGGGGGTCTGAGCTCCACAGTTTGCCCAGCTCGGGATCCCTACACTTCCAGACCATCCAGTCTCTGCTCAATGAAATGTACTGTAATAGCATCCTTGGAGGCACCCTGGGAGGAAGCCAGGGCAGCTGATGTGTTACCATTGCGCCTAAGACTTTCCAGGAAGCAAGACACTGGGTATGTGTCTCTTCCTCCCGGGTTCCTTCCACACCAGCCTCCGGGCAGCTCCAGCCTGGTGCTTTCTCTGTACACATCCTACCTGCTTCAGTGCACCACTGGGCTACCTCTCTACGTCTGGCTCCAGCTCCAGCTCTAGGGAGCAGGAAGAGAACCACTCTTTCTACATCACTGGTACTGTGACAAGGGTGGACAGGGTCAAGGGCAGCAGGAGGAAGGTGAAAAGATGCGAAGGAAGGGGACTAAATTTCAAAAGCCTGTCCACCTGTGTGTCTATATTTTTCCACCTGTATGGCTGTGGATGTATTTGTACGCGCAGACCCCTCCCCAGACAGGGTTGAAGATCAGTGACGGTCATCCGATACTCAGTTTTGGAACCGGCAGCTCTGCTGCCATCTGGTGGCTTTACACTCCGTGGGAAAGGCTAACCAGCGGAGGGTTTTTTTTTTTTTTTTTTTTTTTTTTTTTTAAATTTATTGAACAACAAAAAAGTACGATCTCGTTCTGAAGTGCAGCCTTGAACTTGGTGTGGTCCTCCTCAGCCTCCAGAGTGCTGGGATTACAAGTGTGAGCCTCCCTGCCTAGCTTCAGTGGAGCTTTTGAGTTTCTGGTCAGGATCTCCTTACATGCCCAGACTCAGACCTTATCTGCCAGAGTCTTAGGCACCTCTCAGTTGTGCCTATGATTATTGCATCTCCTGCTTTTCCTGTGGGTGGCATCCTCTGTTTGCTGGGGGCATGAGAGAGGTGGGGCAAGGAAGGGAAAGAGGGAGGGGCAGGGAGAGAAGGAGAGAGGAAAGGAGAGAGAGAGAGAGAGAGAGAGAGAGAGAGAGAGAGAGAGAGAGAGAGA